AGTTGGAGCTCTCGTAGTAGTCGTGGTAGTTGGAGCTCTCGTAGTAGTCGTGGTAGTTGTAGCTTTCGTAGTAGTCGTAGTAGTCGTGGTAGTTGGAGCTCTCGTAGTAGTCGTGGTAGTTGTAGCTCTCGTTGTAGTCGTGGTAGTTGTAGCTCTCGTTGTAGTCGTGGTAGTTGGAGCTCTCGTAGTAGTCGTGGTAGTTGTAGCTCTCGTTGTAGTCGTGGTAGTTGTAGCTCTCGTTGTAGTCGTGGTAGTTGTAGCTTTCGTAGTAGTCGTGGTAGTTGGAGCTCTCGTAGTAGTCGTGGTAGTTGGAGCTCTCGTTGTAGTCGTGGTAGTTGTAGCTCTCGTAGTAGTCGTGGTAGTTGTAGCTTTCGTAGTAGTCGTGGTAGTTGGAGCTCTCGTAGTAGTCGTGGTAGTTGTAGCTCTCGTTGTAGTCGTAGTAGTCGTAGTAGTCGTAGTAGTCGTGGTAGTTGGAGCTCTCGTTGTAGTCGTGGTAGTTGTAGCTCTCGTAGTAGTCGTGGTAGTTGTAGCTTTCGTAGTAGTCGTGGTAGTTGGAGCTCTCGTAGTAGTCGTGGTAGTTGTAGCTCTCGTTGTAGTCGTGGTAGTTGGAGCTCTCGTAGTAGTCGTGGTAGTTGTAGCTCTCGTTGTAGTCGTGGTAGTTGTAGCTCTCGTTGTAGTCGTGGTAGTTGTAGCTTTCGTAGTAGTCGTGGTAGTTGGAGCTCTCGTAGTAGTCGTGGTAGTTGTAGCTCTCGTTGTAGTCGTGGTAGTTGTAGCTCTCGTTGTAGTCGTGGTAGTTGTAGCTTTCGTAGTAGTCGTGGTAGTTGGAGCTCTCGTAGTAGTCGTGGTAGTTGTAGTTTTCGTAGTAGTCGTGGTAGTTGTAGCTTTCGTGGTAGTCGTGGTAGTTGGAGCTTTCGTAGTAGTCGTGGTAGTTGTAGCTTTCGTAGTAGTCGTGGTAGTTGGAGCTCTCGTAGTAGTCGTGGTAGTTGTAGCTCTCGTTGTAGTCGTAGTAGTTGTAGCTCTCGTTGTAGTCGTGGTAGTTGTAGCTCTCGTTGTAGTCGTGGTAGTTGTAGCTTTCGTAGTAGTCGTGGTAGTTGGAGCTCTCGTAGTAGTCGTGGTAGTTGTAGCTCTCGTTGTAGTCGTGGTAGTTGTAGCTTTCGTAGTAGTCGTAGTAGTTGGAGCTCTCGTAGTAGTCGTGGTAGTTGTAGTTTTCGTAGTAGTCGTGGTAGTTGTAGCTTTCGTGGTAGTCGTGGTAGTTGGAGCTTTCGTAGTAGTCGTGGTAGTCGTAGTAGTTGGAGCTCTCGTAGTAGTCGTGGTAGTTGTAGTTTTCGTAGTAGTCGTGGTAGTTGTAGCTTTCGTGGTAGTCGTGGTAGTTGGAGCTTTCGTAGTAGTCGTGGTAGTCGTAGTAGTTGTAGCTCTCGTTGTAGTCGTAGTAGTTGTAGCTCTCGTTGTAGTCGTGGTAGTTGTAGCTTTCGTAGTAGTCGTGGTAGTTGGAGCTCTCGTAGTAGTCGTGGTAGTTGGAGCTCTCGTAGTAGTCGTGGTAGTTGTAGCTTTCGTAGTAGTCGTGGTAGTTGGAGCTCTCGTAGTAGTCGTGGTAGTTGTAGCTTTCGTAGTAGTCGTAGTAGTCGTGGTAGTTGGAGCTCTCGTAGTAGTCGTGGTAGTTGTAGCTCTCGTTGTAGTCGTGGTAGTTGTAGCTCTCGTTGTAGTCGTGGTAGTTGTAGCTTTCGTAGTAGTCGTGGTAGTTGGAGCTCTCGTAGTAGTCGTGGTAGTTTGTTTGTTTGTTTGTTAGTTTAACGTCCGACGCCTAGGAAGGCTTTGTCAGACGACAGCCGTGCAATGGTCAGTAGATAGTCAGGGTAAATAATGATGACAAATGATAATGACAAATAATAATGATGACAAATGATAATAGTGACAAATGATAATGATACATCAGTTTTTTTTTCTTTTCTTTTTCTTTTTTTTTCCTTTTTTTTTCTTTTTTTTTTCTTTTCTTTTTTTTTCTTTTTTTTTTCTATACTTTTCTATTCTTGTTTTTTTTTTTACTTTTTTTTTCTTTTCTTTTTTATTTTTTTTTCTTTTCTTTTTTTTTTTTCTTCTCACTTAGGGAGGCAAAAAAAAAGTAATAAAATAAAATAAAAATAATAGTACAGACGCAGTGCCGACAGTTGCATATTTCGAACGAAATTCGAAACGAGCGATTGGTTACTCTAGATTAGGCGACCCTATTCCCCTACTCCCCGGCACTTAGTTTCCTGCAGAAGAGCTCTGCATCTCTCACTCTACCTGCCGTGATAGTCAGCTGTCCCAAAGTCCCAGACCTCTGTACCCATCCTGGCCTGAAGCTTGCTCTCGCGGGTGCTGTACACCTCAGTAGTGCATGGACATTATCGTCCACCTCCTGGCAGTGCTGACATAGCTTGCTCGGAGGTGGATCAGGACGATATTTGTAGGCTTGTAGACTGCGTGAGTGACCACACAAAAAACGCAGCAGGTATGATGCTCTCTGGGTTGTGACGAACCGAGTAAGTACATCTCTCTGCCTTTGCGATGCTAGAGCCAGCTGCGTGGAGGGGCTGAGCTTTGTTAGGAAACCCTTCAGATAGTTCTCAGTGGCATGATCAATTACCCTTTGTGTGTAACATCTCGGTTTTGGTATACTCAGTTTTCGACCCGCTAACCTCGCCTCATTTGCCAGTCTGTCCGCTACCTCATTATAGTACACATTGCTATGGGAACATATCCAATTGAATCTCACGGATGCCCCCAGTTCGTCACACTTCCTGTATAATAACTCAATCTCCTCCGTGAGCTTCGTCCTCCTTGTTGAATTGATGGACTTCAGAGCCGCCTCCGAGTCAGAAAATATCTCGATACGTCTGTGGTGGCTGCCTTCCCCAGGAATGAGCTCCTCCAAGGCGTATCTCAGTGCCTCCCTTATCGCTACTACCTCTGCCTGGTACACACTGTTAGCCGGATCCAGACAAAACAGCCTGCGAACCTCGCCACCCCTTGGGTTAACTGCTACAAAGGCACAGCCCGTTGACTCCGCTATTCCTCTCCTCATATCCCTGGGAACCTTGCTACCATCCGTGTATATTCTCCACATGCTCCCACATTCGGACTCGTTCCTCATCGAGCTCTCCTTGTCGGCAAAGAGCTGGATGTCCATTGAATACCCCAGATACGACTTGGAGTTCCAGGCTACCTCTCCTTCGTATCCGGCTGGGATATTTCTCTCCTCTATCTCCCTCTCCCACTTCTCTCTCTTCTTCTTCGATCTTTTGCTCACTAGCACATCTGCCGGTTTGGTATGATGATGGCGTATTACTACGCCATCTAATACCTTCCTGCTAAGCGGTGCTCTGTTTGTCACCAAATAAATGAAGG